TTTTAGCAAAGAACTGGATCAAATTTAAATATTCTGCCATTGAATTGTTGATTTTACTTGATGGCAGGAGAATCCCTTCTTAAAATACCATGATAGACCATTTATCAGGTCCCTAAAATAATGTAAAAGAAAACTAGATCAAGTTCAATATTTTTTTTCTTGTTGTTGTTCCTTGATCCATTTCTGTATTTTCATGAGATTTTTTAATTTTTTGAAATTAACTTTAAACATTCATGTAGCAAAAAAGTTAAAATAATAACAACATGAATACCTCCAGGGAGCAGAGGCAACAGCGTAGCATTATTCACAAGCTTTTGACTGCTTGAACTTTTGAGGTCCTAATAGTGAAAGGAAAAGAATGATAAATCTGAACTTCATAAATGGATGGGAATATCTTCTTTTTTGCTGTTGCTGTTGTTTGTTTTTCCCTTATGGTATTGGGTATTTAACCTAGGGCCTTCATAATGAGCTACATCCCCAGCGCTTTTTTTCATTTTTCTTTTGGGACAAGGTCTCACAGTAAGTTACCTACAGTGGGCTCAAACTTGTGATCCTTCTGCCACACTCTCCAGAGTGGGGGAATATCCTAGATTTAAGCATGGACCAGAAAGTAATTTGCCCACTATGTTGTATTCAGATTAAACATTTAAAATGTGTAAATCTTAAAAATATACAGATAACTTCAGATATATAAGAGAATGTTATAGGGTATTATGATATGTATTTAATTGGTATTACAAATGACAGCAACTGTAAAGACTCCAGCATGTTTGGCACCTGGCTTTGAGATATCATCACAGTGCTAGGTGGCCTAATTTCATGAACTCAGTTACTCCTTAAAACAGGACACAGTTGGTTGACTTTGTAATTTATTAGAGAACTGTGAAGTTGAGAGTTTTGAGTCTTACACAGACTTTTAGAGGTCCATATTCTCTTATAGATGGCAAACAGAACTTCCCGGTTTTAGCTTTTAAAAAATAAGACTTTAAGAACCAACAAAAAGGCTCAAAAAGCATGTTAGGCATCAAGTTGCTTTTTAAATTTGATCTTCTCATGAGTGTAAATAAAATTAGAAGAAATTGAATCTCCCTGAAAACTGTGGATGGCTCAACACATTCAGAAAAGTACCTGAAAAACTTTTATCTTAGTATTGTAAAATTCTTTTTCAAAAAGAAAAGAAAAAAAAAAACTATGGTAAGCATTATTCAATAGAGCAAATTAGGATTGTATCCAATGTGTCACCATGCAGGAAATATTCTGCTAGCACGGGCAGTACCTAGTCTTAGTAAATTCAGTTAGGAATTTTACTAGTTATATCATAGATTTGCTTTCACTAGGAATAACATGAACTGCTAACCAAATTAATTAGCATTTCTTCCTTGCAGCTGTTGCCAGCTGAGGTACTAACATGGGCATCATTCATAGACTTTGCCCTGCGCCAAGGAATTTGTCCATAATTTTTTTTGAGAAATAAGCATCTTTCACAAATAATTATGAGGCATAATCTGGCACAAACAGAAAATTTTTAGCTACAAACAGTAGTGGTCAGGAGAGTTTGGACACAGACGATTGTCAACAGTTTCCAAATAACCAATTGCAGGTTGAAAGATAGCATCTCCAATACCAAAACCCCACATTTCTCTCTCCAGGAATTTGACCCAGAAGGCAAGAACAGAGTGTTCAATTGAAGAGTCAGTTGACAAACGTGATGTGTTCAATTGAAGAATCAGTTGACAAACGTGACCCTTAGGGACCAGTTGTTCAGTTGGTGCTGTCACATTGGACAGAAGACAGCAGTTCAGAAGTGCATTTGGGCTCATAATTTGGTCTGCTTCTGCCATTCACTTCAATTTATGAGCTGCATATAACAATATTCAGCCTTTCTTTGGTTGCTGACATCCTCACATTAACCATAATGGCCCCAACTTATAGTTTGTTCACGTCTTGACATGTGTATCCAAAACATTGAGTTCCTTTGGAATAAATGTATAAAGCAAAGTGCACAACCATGAGAGTAGTTCCTCATGGTATTTTGGACTCATATTTGGTTGAATTTATGTGGTGCAATCAACTTGAGAACAATCTTTTAAATTCCCTTTTACTGTGTATATCAGAACAGTTTCCTGTCAACTCATAAGATGTTTGGATGTTTTAGTGCAACTATCTGGAGAGAAATTCTTCAGTTGAATATATCTAAGAGGTAAATTGTTCAAGTGATCTAAGTAATAAAATGAATAATTCTAAAGAGACCAATGTAATTTAATAACAGGAAGAGTACAAAAAATATTTAAAATAAAAAGAAAAATACTCCAGAGGGGAATAAATTTTAAGCAGTTCTGTATTATGAATATTATCTTTTCATTTTCAGTATTTTATTAGGTAACATTGTGTTTTAGTTTTTAAAAGTTTAATTACAAAATTGTTGTAACATGTAGAAAATCTATGTATCATTGACCAAATTTTACAATGCTAACATTTTATTAATATTTATATTTAATCTTTTTAAAGAAATAAAATGTTTCAATGACAATTGAAACATCTTTCCCTTTCCCATTTCTTCTTCTCCTCAGGAGTCACCACGTCCAAGAAGTTGGTATAGACTCTTCTTATCATGTTTTAGCACACTTCCTTCATAAATGTACTGTTGTGTTCTTAAACTTTACATAAGTAATGACGAACTAGGAATATCTCTTTACAAGTTGGCTTTCTCTCTTCATTATTTTTGTTTGTTTTGTTTTTGGAGACAAGTACTCGTGAGCTAGGGTCTCACTGTAGTCCAGGCCTGCCTTGAACTCACTGTGTATCCCAGGCTAGCCATGAACTCAAGATTCTTCTGCCTCAGCCTCCGAAGTGCTGGTATTAAAGGTGTGTGCCACCACACATGCTATCATATATTCAAGCTTTATGTATTTGGATAATGTAGGCCTAGTTCATCATTTTAACTTCCAGGTAACATTCCATTCTGTAAATAAACCATCGTTTATTTATTCATTTCTGTACAAATACACAGAGTATGCCTACCCTCTACAAACAGTTCCATTTAAGTCTCCCTAACCTGTAAGGATACATGATAGCACTTTCTCCCTAGATATGTTCATGGTTTGCTTGTACTTCCTTCAGAACCCTCCCCAAATATAACTTTCTCGTCAGGTCCTACCAGTCCTTTCCCCTTGTGTCTTCTGCTTTTCAGCATGACACTGTCCATCATTTCACCGCTTCTCTCCCTCCCTAGGCTTTATCATCTTTGCTTCTCTATCAGGATAAACAGTTTGAATATCCTGAGCAGCCAACACATAGTCATTGAATGTGTAGGACAAATGCTTAGTAATTTACAAATAGATTCACTGAAGAGGAAAAGCAAGTGGGTAACAATTAACTCAGTCTCCCAAATTATCAACAAATGCAAATGAAAGCATTAGTATAATAATTTTTGCCTGCCAAATCAGCAAGAAATAAAAGTGGATAATAATATCCCTGGCAAGGGTAGAAAAGGAAATTGGGATGGGAATTTAATATGCAGGTACTCCCACATGGGCACAGATAGGCACATGTGAGGCCACAGCAGCAGCACTGTTCTAACAGTGAAACATTAGAAACAACTGAACTGCTATTGTTAAATTACAAAACATACATACTTTTAAAAAATAGGCAGCAAGTTTAAAACAATGAGGGGTTGGTATATGTTCTATATTGTGGTGTCGTTTATATCTCACAAAACACAAATTTACATTTCTATATTTATGATTATGTATTAAAATACCTAGAAAAAGAGCTAATAGTGTATAGCCAGAATTTTCATTTTATTAATCTCTAGACATTCATGTAACATGTGTTTCTTGAGCACACAGCATGTATAAGTAGTTGCTTGGTGCTAGGAAAAGGGCTATGAAAAAGGGACCTGTCCTCAGAAGGATTCTGTGCTAGCAGAAGACACTGTCCCTGAGCAGTACACAAGTGCCATATCACAGATCAGCTAATGGGACACATAAGAAAAGGGATGAAGGGCTGGTGGGTACTCCGACACCTGCTTTCTGTAGAATGGCATGCCCTGTGGGATTTTGCTGCCAGACAGTCACCACTGGCCTTGTGTAGCTGCTGAACACTTGAAATGTGGCTAGGGCTAGATGCTGGATTTTTAATTTTACTTCAATTCATTTAAATTTAGATTGCACAGGTGACAGATAGTGCACTGATAGGGTATAGTCAGGGAAGATTTTGCTTACAAAGTGACATTTGAGCTGAGACTTGGACAAAGCAGGTGACCCAGCCATGTGTTCCAGGCATGATGAACAGCAGGGCCTAATTTGGAGCAGCAGGAGGCAGAAAGGACAAAGGTAAGAGTAGGAAAAGAAACCAGGGGAATGAGGGGACCCATCAGGAAGGCTAAAGTGACTACTACAAGACTGCTTTTTCCCTGGGGGAGGCAGGACACAATTGCAAAGCTGTGAGTAGACAAGTGGTATGATGTGGAGTTGTAAGGTTTGCAGGAGCTGTTGTGATAATAAGCAGCAAGAATGAGGGCAAAGGCAGGGAGAAGGTAAGGAGACTGTGTACTACCCTGACAGGCTGGAAGTGGTGCTGCCCGGAAGTCAGAGGTATCTGTAGAAATGTTGAGAAGAGGTCAGGTGAGTTGACAGTATTGGATCAGATGGGGAGTGGGAGAAGGGAGGAACCAGGCCCCAGCTTCATTTAGGGAGCACTGGAGTTAGGATACTTGAAAAGGAAATTCAGGAATTCTATTGGGGACATGGCCAGTTGGAAGCATCTGTAGATAGTTATGTCAAACAAAATCCCGATAGTGACATTAAAATGGGAAGGGCAGCTAAAGTGTTTCTTTTTGGAGAACAAATAGAACAGTTAATGGACAGCATTAGGAAAGTTCTCTCTGTGTTCAGGCCAAAACCAGTCATTGACCTTTTCAGCATAAAGATTTTATATGCCTTTAATTACATGTGGCTCTCAGATTAGGGTAATTATTTCTTATTTTATTTCTTGCTTAGGATGGCTCCCGAACGAGTGGCCTCCTTGTCACAGGTTTGTGTCCCGCTTGTTACGCTGCCTGATTTTGAACCCCTGGTGGAGGGCATGCTCACCTACCATGGACATGAACCTCAGGAAGTCCTCTGTCCTGCATTCTTTGAAGCTGTAAATGAGGCCTTTTTGCTGTAAGTGATGTCCTTTTACGCTATTGTCCAGCTTTGTTTTCCCTTTTCTTAGAAAATGTTTTGGTGTGTTAGAAATGTTATACAAATATGATAGCAGTTTTCAAATGTTTTGATCTCAGTATCCCTCTTCACTCTTAAAAATTGAGAATCCCAAAGAACTTTTTTTTATTAAATTTTTTTATTGGTACATTGTAGGTATACAACACAATTACATTTCTCATTGCGAATTGTACCTTTACATAATGCATCTTGGTTCTTATTTTTTCCCCATTCCTAGCCCTCCCTTCACCCCCTCCACCCTTCCCTATTTACAAAGACTTTATTTCCATTTTTTCCATTTCTCATCATTTTTCCTTTCCCTTCTTTCCTTTCCCCTGCCCCTCCCACTACCCCTACCCCTTTGGACCTTTTCTTCCTATTTTACATTATCAATTATTCATTCTAATCATTGGTACATTTTAGGTATACAATATAATGACATTCATCATTGGAAATTTGCACCTTTACATAGTCTCTCTTGGTTCTTATTTTTCACCCTTGCCCAGCCCTCCCTTCAACCCCTCTAAAGAACTTTTTAAAAATATGGATTATACCTATCAATATTTGTCATACTTAAATTTAAAACAAATTTTAAAATACTTACTGGACTAGGGGAATAAGTATAGCTCACTGGTAGAGAAAAAGTCTTAGGGATTGAACTCAGGACCTCGTACTTGCGAGGCAGGTGCGATACCACTGAGCTAAATCCCTGGCCCAAAAAAGTCTTATTTTTAAAAACTGATTATATGTTAACATAAATAGCATAGTTTTTTGAAAACTCGTCATGATCTTTTCCAACACACACACACAAAATGTTTGGCAAGTCAGGTATGGTGGCTCATGCCTATGATCCCAGAACTTGGGAGCCTGAAGCAGGAGGAGTGAGAGTTTGAGGCCATCTTAGGTTAATAGCAAGATCCTACCTCCAAAAAATCCCAAAACATTGTTTGGCAAGATTGGCATTATTTTTATATTTCAAGGTTTCATTCTGTGGTTTAACAACTGGATTCTCAAATCTCCTTCTGTATTCAATCTGGTGGGACTTGTTTTGACTGAAGTGTATAAAGAAAATCCAACCCCACACATATAAGTAGTTAGCAAAGGCAGGAATATTGTAGTAACCACCTCAGATAGTTCTGGACACTCTGCTTTGATGCCTCACCAAATTTTGAAAATAGTCATTTTTTTAAAAAGATTGTTAACTGTGTAGAATCTAAAATTCTATTAATGAACTTTTCATACTCTGTTACATTAAAACCCATTGATCATGTGCTGTTTTGGATCTTTTACAAGATTTTTGTTTTGTTTTTTGTTTTGTTTTGTTTTGTTTTTTGCAGAACCAGGGGATCGAATTCATGACCTTGCATCTTTTGCAAGATTTTGTAGCACTGAGCATGGTTTGTTTGGAAAACTTTGGTTCATTGAGATATGTAGATCTGACATACTTCAGTATATAGCAGGAATACTTATAATCATCACTATCACCACCAATCTGATTATCAGTGTCTTTAACTCTTGGTAAGCTGTCAGCTCATGTTGACAGACATAGATTCTCCAAGATTCTAATTTCTGTTTAAGAGCTCAAATTGATCCTGGGCCACAATTCTGTCATTTGTTTTTCTTAAGTTGATTGAGTCATTTTGCTAGTTTTTTGAAAAGTACATGCTAAATAGTCAAGTGTGAGTAAGTATTGTTTGTCTGGTAATCATTCTTTCAAGTATACTTCCACGTACCTTAAATTTCCAGAGCTCACACAAGTGTAGGAGTGCTTTTCTGAAGACAGCTATCGTTTTGGGTCACAGAGCAGAAGTGCTTTGTGTATACTGTATTTTACTGTGTAGATTTTTAAATTTCTCAAGGGTAACAACTGAATAAAATCAGCAGCAATTACACTGCTTTAGCAAAGGTTATTAGGTGAATACATCTGCTTTTCCTATGAGGGTGTGGTAGTGAGGAATACAGGCAAGGACAGTGACAGCGGGTCCCTGATCTTCCTGAGGTGCAGCAGTTTTACCCACTGTTGTTTTTGCAGTCAGTGCCAACATCACACAGGTGTCACAGGAAAAACCGTGAAATTCTCAGTGGTACTTCAACACTTTAAATTTCTGTCCACCTGGAGGTATGGCCGTGTTTCACAAAAAAATCTCCCATGTTTTCCTGGTGCTGACACCAGAAAAATAAACCATACACCAAGGCCAGCCAGGCCTAGAGGTTTTGGTATAAGTATGGTTCTCTTGGCAAAGTATTAATGAGTCATATCTACTTTTAAATCATTTAATTCCTTTTTGTTTAGACTCTGAATGGCTTCAAATTGATGCTGCAATTAACTAGTCCCATAACAGTCCTGAAACATTTTGTTGTTTAAGGCACAGACGGTAAATTATTAACATCTGCAAAGTGAAGGCAACAACAACTTTCCTCCTATTTCTACTTTTGTTTATAGCTTAGTCCACTTTCTCTGGAATAGATGTCCCTGTCTTATGAGTCAGAGAACATTTTGATGTGTGTGTTGCATCTTTTCCTGGTATAACAGCTGTGGTGTGAGAAAGAGAATGTATTAATTCTCCTTTTCACAGCCAGCAGTCCATTCTTAAATTTAAGAAAATGTAAATAAATTTTAGTTTTTGAATAAAATGTTAGTAAATTCTAAAATTAAACTATGTATTAGAATATATGGATATAAAATATATATTATATAAATTAAATGTTTTATACAGAGTCTGCCCAAAAAATGTATACACACTTCAGGAAAAGAAAAACTTGCACAAGGTGCACATCTTCCTGATTTAACACCTGCAAACTTTTATCTATGGGAGACCCTAAAGGATGTCATATTTCACAGAAAACTCACTATATTGCCAGCCCTTACAGAAGAGATTGAAAATGCATGTGCAGCAATCTCAGTGGACACTTTGACCAAGGTCACCCAAGCAGCAGTTAGCCATACTAGTGAATGTCTGGAAGCTAATGGCCACCACTTTGAGCAACTCTTGCAATAGAGGCCAAAGTTAACTTGTATTAATCTCATGATGTCTTAATGAATTTAGTATTAAGATATTTATACAAGTTTTTCTTATCCTGAAGTGTATATACATTTTTGGTGGACTCGGTATAAAATATTTATATGTAATATAAAATTATCTAAAATTCAGTTAAAAATGTTTTAATTTAGAAAAGTTTTAAAAAATGTTACTACAGGGGTGGGGATTTCGCTCAGTGGTTCCACCACCTACCTCACAAGCACAAGTTCCCGAGTTCAATCCCTGGTACCAAAAAAAAAAAAAAATGTTACTACAGAAAACCTCAGCACAGCACTTGTGTCTTGCTGTATTTCCACATAAACACAAGGGGAAATATCAAGACTTTTTTGTTTGTTTGTTTATTTATATATTGGGTTTTTTTTATTTGTTAAAGTACTAGACATTGAACCCAGGGCCTCATACATGCTAAGCAAGTGCTCAACTATTGAGTTATATCCTTAGACCTTGTTATTTTTCAACTCTTGCAGAGTTACCCAGGCTGGCCTCAAATTTGTGATCCTCTTGCCTTCGCCTCCTAAGTAGCTGGGATCACAGGCATACCTAGCTTAAATTACTGATTTTTTTATGTAGAAGTAATGTCAGGTATAACCAATTATAGCAAGAGCATAGTAGACAAAAAGAGAATAAACCTAATGTCTGAGAATATGCATATTTATATCCTAAACATACTTATCTTTAAAATTCTTCGAGACAGTAAAAATACATAAGCCTATTTTTCATTGAGTGTCAGGGAAATAACATCAGATGTCATGTAGCCTGTGCATGATTAGACTGTACACTTATAAGCATGAGAGGATGAAAGATAAATGCCATCATGGTATATTTATGAAAATGGTTTTGCCCACAGAATCCCTGATCATGTCTCTATTACTCACAGGGGTTCGTTCCATGGATCCTGCTCAGATAATTTTAGCAGTTACTTTCTCTTCAGTGTTTAAAATATTGTTTATTTCTTCATGGGAATTCCACCTTAATTGCCAGATTCTACTTAGTCTCAAAAATGAGATTCAATAAGAACCAAGAGAGACTATGTAAAGGTGCAAATTTCCAATGATGAATGTCATTATATTGTATACCTAAAATGTACCAATGGTTAGAATGAATAATCGATAATGCAAAATAGGAAGAAAAGGTCCAAAGGGGTAGGGGTAGTGGGAGGGGCAGGGGAAAGGAAAGAAGGGAAAGGAAAAATGATGAGAAATGGAAAAAATGGAAATAAAGTCTTTGTAAATAGGGAAGGGTGGAGGGGGTGAAGGGAGGGCTAGGAATGGGGAAAAAATAAGAACCAAGATGCATTATGTAAAGGTACAATTCGCAATGAGAAATGTAATTGTGTTGTATACCTACAATGTACCAATAAAAGAATTTAATAAAGTGCAAAAAAAAATGAGATTCAAATCATTCATGTTTTAAAATTCAAGGTAGAAAGTTGATATGATTTTTTTAATTCAAAAAATGTTTATTACCGTATTGATAGGTTATAGTGTGATAACTGATACATGTATACGACATGTAATGATCATTGATATGTGATTTTTAAAATGATATTTACTACTTACGAGCCTTAAATTTTGTTTAAAAGTATAATTTTTTTAAAGTTGGGTTAATAATTCTTTACATCGCTCAGTTGAGCATGGTGACACGTGCCTATAATCCCAACAGTCTGAGAAGCTGAAGCAGGAGGATCACAAGATCAAGCCTAGCCTGGGCAACCCCGCAACTTAGTGAGACCCTGTCTCAAATTTTTTTCCCTTTTATCAATTCTTTATTATTTAAATGCTTTTAGAGAGAAATTGGAAGGCCATTACATATATAGAACCTTCTTTATTACAAGGTGCAGTTTTACAAAGATAGTTATAGCCAGACATGGTGGCGTGGCACAGGCACTCTGGGAGGCTAAGACAGGAGGCTCACAATTTT